GCTGCGAAATCGATAAAGAGGGCCTCTGAGCATTTAAAGACTGGTTACGAAAGAATGACCCAAATTACGCATTAAAGCTTAGAGTATTCTCTGCGATATCATCCTTAAATTATACCATTGGCCGACGTCTCCTCCGACAAATGGCATGGATGTTTAAGACCAGTAAATTTCATTCTTAACCAGTTCTTGGACACGTAGCCTGCGGACGTTAGGAAAGAAAAAATGGGGGTGGGGCTAGGGGATTAGGGCTAGGGGCTATAGTTAGGTGTTAGGACTAGAGGTTAAGGTTAGGGCAACTATTTCTTAAGCACTCAAAGTACAACCACGCATTCCCAATTGCTTATCTCTTGAATAAAACTACTTGGCCTCGTCGCCTGTGCGTTTCCCGGTCCCACCTATAAAAACCCCCTATTACCACCGGCCCCTCACCATTGATCACTGGAGTTCGTTTACTTCAGGTGGTTCTACATAACCACACCTGGCCGAAAAAATTAAAATCATAAATAAAAGTGCTCTGGTGCCCTCGACGCAAAGCCTATTCCACAAGCAGTCGCCTCCTAGATCAGTTGAACCAGGAAGGGTTTCAACCGTCTATACGTGTTTGAATAACTATACCCGGTTGCAGCCGAAACTGACTAGGTCGGTGACCCTAATAAGGTCTCGGATGTCCAACCCCTTGATACGAGTTCGGCTCCTACGTGTTCCCTGACTGTTTTGGAAGACGTTCGACCGATGAGTTCGACTGAGTCAGAAACAGCCACCTTAGTTTACCTTGGCATTGTCGATATACTTCTTGCCTCACCACTACTAGGCGACCACTCAAGAAGGCCACACACACACCGGAGCTTGAAGACAACGCACGTGACCCCCTGTACCGCCCTGAAATCAAGTTAGAACGGTAAGCACCACCCCGGTGCCGTTTTCTCACCCTTCTCTGCACCAGCGACCTGACGATGTCTATGATGAATCCACCTACCGGCAGGTTTTACCACGAAAGGGCGTCACAGTGACCCAGGGTGACCCCTGGCAGCTTCAGCTCTTTGTAGTCATATTATTTTTTCTTGCACTCGATTATTTGTTTGCCGTCGCGCGGCCTCGTACTACAGGTCGGCGCGGAGGTCTTATCTGTTAAAAATCGCAGGTGCATCTTTTGCAGTAAATGTATTATAAGAATTTGCAAAATGAGACCCTGTTTCCACCCCTCCTTCAGGCAATATATCGATTATGTTATCTAACCAGCGTCTCAAGGCACGCACACCTGGTAGGCAACGTCGGGCAAAAATGATTGGAGCATTATATGAGCTGTTTTGTTTACAAAATTCGCCAAGAACTGCTCTCTTCTCTGCGACGGTGGTTAAAGGACTGAAAGTGAAAAAAAACTGTTTAAAATTTAGAAAGCTACATGCACAACTGTACTTAAATTGGGCAAACGTTGACTGTAAGGTTGGACACAGGAATGGAGCCCCCCCCCCCTCTACTACAGATGGTCCTGCGTTAACTTCGGGGAGATTATTTATGCCTTGTCATAACCCCCAGCCCCACTGGGATTTAGCAAAAGGCTACCTGCAATAACGGATGCACCTATTCCTCTATCTGGTAAGATGTGTTTATGTAACCGCACCTGATTGACACAGTACTGTTGACCTACTTAATTATTTTGAGTTAATGTGATTACGTTGACATTGTGCTGTTGTGCGTCGCGGCGTGTGTTCTGTTGGCAGCTTTGTCTATTTGTTACAGTGTTAACCTTTTTTGGTCCAATGCCGCTTGCCCTTCTTGACTTTCGTCCTGTCGTCTCCTTCTAACTTTCGCGTTGGGTGTTTCAGGGTTAGGGTTTAGGACTGTGGTTAAGGGTTAGGGCAACTATTTTTCAACCAGTCAAAGTACAACCGCACATCTCCAATAGCTTATCTTTTGCATAAAATTACTTGACCTTGTCGCCTGTGCGTTCCCCGGCCCTATCTATAAAAAGCCCTATTACCGCCGGTCATGTATTACAGGTGGCTGGGATTTGTTTACCTGAGGTGCGGCTACATAACCTCATCTGACCGTTTCGACTGTCCTTCTAGAGATTGGGATTCATTGATAAATGTCTGACGGCTTGTACTTCGGCCGTTGTCACACCCGTAAGTCTAATTTTGGTTCAATGGATGCAGTACCCTCCGATACTATAAAAATCGTAAAGTATCAGCCCTGAAAGTAAGCTAACCCGGAATATGCTGTTTTTGGCTTATTTTGCATCATCGTAGACCCGTGTCTAAGCTCCAACTGGGGAAGAACTGGGAGCTGACTTTGTGAGTACCGGTTCTGACTAACCGCTCCTCCCTCCCCTTTTTTGGCGACAAGCCGTACACCTGTTCTGGCTGTGGAGCGGTCTTCACTCAAGGATCCTCTCTAAAATTGCACATCAAGTCCCGTCACAACGACAATCTCGCCTTCTTCTCACTCTCCAGGAAGCCGGGTAAAAATAACCTCACTAAACTTTGGACGCGGGTGCTGAAGAAAGATCTGCCCAAGTATGAGGCTACCAAGTTCAATTCCATGCTCGCCAGCTACTACGTTCTTAACTAATACCACCTACTATCTTACCTGCTCTAATCCTAATGTGTATCTGCTGTTCCAGCGCACTTGCAGTTGATTTGTGCAGTTGAGTATATCGACTGCCAAGTAGGACACTATCAGATGCCCAGGCCGTTTTCATTGACGAAAAAACACCCATTTCAATAGAATTCAGCATTTACATAGATTTTCAACACTCATAAACTTTCGCTCGAAAAATCAGAGAGAACGACCAAAAGGTACGTCTTTGTAACCGACTATCCAGGAAAATTAGGTTTTTCGGGCATATAGGCACCTTCGGTGCTAAGTGGTTTACATAAATAATTGTTTTTGAAACATCTTCTAAGGTTACTAAAAGTCCAAAGGGTTTTCCAACTTCATGACACGCATGCTCTCCAAAATAATTCTCCTCAAAAGAAGAGGAGGCGTTCACTGGGTGGGGTTTGTTAGACGTCTGACGTTTCGAGTAGTTGCTTCGTCTACCCATCTTCAGAGACTGGAAAGTCCTGCGCACAGCTCTCAGTAAATGGCGCAGAGGGATTTCTAACTACATTACACGCATGCCGCATGTCATCGTGACCTGAATCTTCCCGCCCCCGTTGGCCCTGATTGTCCCGAGCCGTGACTGCCCCCAGTTAAGAAGGTTCGTAAAGTCAGATAGGAGGGAGGCAAATTGATGTGGCGGTTGGCAGAGCAGTGGGTGGACATCCAGGCTTCTTGCATCTGCTTTGTTGTTTGATCATCGTCCGGCCTGCCCACAATCACAACGGCCTCAAGGTTGAATATATTTTCCATTTGGGCGGCATCGGTTGCTGCCTCCGACTTTGGGTCTAGCCTGCACACGGCCAACTTATGCTCTTGCATTCGTGTTTGTAGTCGTCGGCCGGTTTCCCCAACGTAGTTGCACTTCCCGCAGCTGCATTGAAGTCGTTAGGCAACGACCGACAACTCCTACTTTGGGATCGGGCCTTTTGACCGCATCCCTTGCCAGCGGATTGTTGAGTCGGGCCTGTGGGCAAAGCTGATTTCGAGCGGCACGAGGGATCTAGCCACGGCTTCGGAGACCCCTTTCCTTTGCGGAATGCTCCGCCAAGATCTTGACTGATTATGCTCTGCATTCCGCTTTCTTGGTTGCCGTCGGCCCCGTCCAACAAATGGTCGCGAAAAGCCGTTGGCTCTGAAGAGTTCTTGGAGGAGCTCCATCTCCTTCAAATTGGTGGCAGGCGTGATGCAACGAGTTTCCACCCGTCGGTATAGCGTGCGCACACAACTTCGTTTGTGTTGCAGTGGGTGGTTGCTGTTGCAACTGAGCACTTGCCACGGCTGCCAATTAAGACAATATCAGATGCCCACGCCGTTCTCATTGACGAAAAAACATCCACTTCAACAGGATTCAGTTTCTGCATCCATTTTCAACACCCACGAACAGTCAATCGACCAATCAGAGAGAACGATCATAAAGTACGTTTTTGTAATCGATTTTTCCGGGAAATTAAGTTTTTCGGACATGTAGACACCTCCGGTGCCTTTTTGAAGCATTTTCTATCTACATTACACCCATGGTGTCCAAAATAATTTTCACGTTTACTTCGCCGGGGTTATTGAAAAGACACTTTGCCGCGGTTGTTAATTCGGGTAGAATTAGTGAAAGACTTCCAGCTGCGAACCTTGCAAAGTAGGAATGTTTCTTCTAAGTAAATGCTGAATTCCGGGGAACATTAATTTCCCGACAAAGCGATTATGTAAATGCGCCTTCTACGAACATTTCTGGGACTTCCTATGCATCGAAGCCCTTCTGAGTGATGTCATCTTAATCTTGAAGTTTCCTGATAGGCTGGCGCTGATATCACGGGGGAACTGGACGGCCGACAAATTAACCTCAAACTCCTTGGAAAAAAATTATAATGTGTGGTCTCTCAAATACTGCGTGACCTTATTCAAGGTCTCAGTATCTCCCTGGCCCTTTGTCAAGATAGGGACTACAAATTGAGTTCATAAGTCACTGCTCCCAAAGCTGTCTTCCAGATAGTCCCAAAAGCAGTCGGCTCGAGTTGATTCTCGTGTGGGGGCACTTAATGGCGCCGAAGAGATAGAGGCAAGCTATCCCGGACTAGCTTGGTAACATTTCCAAATCACTCTTGAAAGCAACGACAGTTTACAAGACTTTATTTACGGTGTATCATTGGCTGCTTACACTTAACAACTCTAATGCCCGCAACTCAAGCATCTTTCAAGAGTTTCAGCGACAGGAACGTCTAACGTCAAGGTTAGGCATGAGATATCACCTTAAAAATCACAGCGGTCATAGAATGATGGAAGCTGGGAAAAGTTAAGTCAAGCAGATGAGAGTCATCGCTGCAGAAACCGTATCTTTATAGTCAACAATGAACAGTCACCAGGAGGGTGGTTCAGTGAAAGACGGTAGGCCGCGTGAAGTCCTTCTACAGCTGACCATTGCTTATCACCGCCTCCGTTTCGTTGACCTCCTTCTCGAGGGGTTTGTAGCCCTCTGGTGGTCCATCTGGTGCACCAGGAAGGTTCACATTCAGGTTTCGTCGAATGCCCAGAACCTGACGATCTCGAAATATGCAGCCCGTAATGAGCGTGAGGAGTAACAGCAGAATGACCACACAGCACATATCCCAAGCGAAGGCGATGGTGATGAACATGAGGTTGGCATGGTCTGTCTCGACCCACTTGCTTGCCAAGGCTGAGTCCAGAACAATGCCGCTCTGCCAAAACCAAATTCCCTGCATCATGACTCCACCCACGCGGAGTTGCTTGATAATCTCCGATTGGGGACGACCGTACTCCCAGAGTAGAAGGCCTGCGTTGAAGAGAGCCACATAGGAGGTCAGGAGGCGTGTTGCAACGGTGAGGTGCATATGGCCCGTACCCTGGGCGTGGGCAATTAGCCCTAGGTTGGCAAATGCTAGCGCGTTCGCGGTGTAGTCCATACCCTCTGGCAGCACAATGCCTGTCCCACTGATGATGTCTGTGAGGGCTGCGAGGAAGAAACCACCATAGACGGTGGGATAGGAGTAGTAGTATGGACGACCGAGGGTGTGGACGCAGGCCGTTTCCACAATGATGCCTACGAGGCAGGCGGCAGCCTTGATGAGACCCTCGAGAACTTGGCTCCTGCAAAGGCCACACTTGCCAGTGAAGGTCAGACTTGAGGACCGGGATCCAGTTAGACTTGCTGCCTTTGTAAATTGCCCACGAAGTACCGAGAGGGACCACCATACCCCCAGGAGAAATAAGTAAGCACCAAGGTACGCGTGGCTTGGCAGGAGTCCAGCGTGAGACAGATGTACCTCCAGGGATTGCGAACTGACATTGGCATGTCCGCCGCCGCCGCCGTGGTGGTGGTCGTGGTCGTGGCTGATCTCTGCTGATTTATTCATCCGTAGACAGGAGTAACAGTGGTTCCACTAGTCAGAAAGCCCTTTCACTCAGGTAGTAAACTCTGGTGACTGAAATTCGCTTGCGCTTTGCGGTTGGTCAGTGCTCGTTGGCGTTGACCAATGAGCGTCAGAGTAGGCGTCGTCTTCGCGTTAAAGCGCACACTAGCACGAAGTCGACTCAACGGCGGTCGTAAGGGCGCGCCGGATTCGACATCTGGGGCATTACGAGCCTTTGGAGAAAAAGTGCATTATCAACGGTAGAAGCTTGTTTGATAATGTAAAACTGCCAAGTCGTCATTAGTGAAGACGAAACACCTAATCGGCCGGTTTTTACTTTTATTAACGTATCAACGACCGCTGGCGTCGGTCCACAAACAAATTGGCCTGACTTGGTGGTCAAACTCTGCCTCGGTTTCGTGCTCCTTCTGTAGGGCATGGGTTTGATCCTTAACTGTCTATATAAATACTTCCTCCTACCTCTTTAACTGCGAAAGCGATTATAGCAGTAGTCGATTAGTTAAAATTTTAGAATGAAATGCATTTGTAGCGCTTAGGGCAACGTGGGTGCCTTAACCACCCCAATAAACAACTTATGTACGGC